TGGAACCATCATCTTGGGCCGTCTGGGCGCCCTCCTGGACCATGTTAAACGCCTCTTGGACATTTTGGACGCCTCTCAGCGCCTAAAAAAAAAAGATGTGGGAAACTCATCGGAAGCGGGAGCACAACGGCCGCGACCAGTTCGTCGATATCAGCCGCGGTCGGTCGCGGCGGAGCGCCGCTCGGACGTGGTTGAGGGCATCTCGGTCGCGGTCGTCCCCGCGGCGGACACGGGTCACGGTCAGCCGCATCGAGAGATTTTGTCAAATGAGCGTGTGGGCACAAATGCTTTTCGCCAGAATTGGCTTTCGCCGGGTTTCGTTACTCCGGGTTTCGTTTCGCCAGAATGGCTTTCGCCAGGGTTGGCTTTCGCCAGACATCGTTTCGCCGGGCTTGGCTTTCGCCGGGCTTGGCTTTCGCCGGGCTTGCTTTGGCCGGGGTTGGCTTTCGCCGAGGTTGGCTTTCGCCGGGCTTCGTTTCGCCAGGGTTGGCTTTCGACAGGGTTGCCTTTCGCCGGGGATAGCTTTCGCCGGGGTTGGCTTTCGCCGGGGTTGGCTTTCGCCGGGTTTCGTTTCGCCGGGGTTGGCTTTCGCCGGGGTTCGTTTCGCCGAGCTTGCTTTCGCCAGGGTTGGCTTTCGCCGCGTTTCGTTTCGCCGGGGTTGGCTTTCGCCGGGGTTGGGCGCAGGCTCCCACGGGCGGGTCGGGTCGGGCAGGCGGAACGGCTCGGGTCGGGTCGGGCGGACCGTAACGGGCGGGTCGGGTCGGGCGGGTGGGGCACTTAAGTGTGAGGCACGCTCGAGTGAGAACACGTGAACCCTAACGGGCGGGTCGGGTCGGGCAGGCGGAGCACTAAAATGTAAGGCGCGCTGGAACGAGCACGCGTGAAACCTAACGAGCGGGTCGGGTCGACGGGCGGAGAACGAAAAGTGCGGGGCGCGCTCGAGTGAACACGCGTGAACCCTAACGGGCGGGTCGGGGGCACGCCCGAGCGAGCAGGCGTGAACCCTAACGGGCGGGTCGGGTCGGGCAGGCGGACCCTTACGGGCGGAACGGGTCAGGCAGGACACTAAAGTGGGGGTCGCTCTGAACCCTAAAAGGGCGGGTCGGTCGGGCGGGCGGACCCTAACGGGCGGGAGGGGTCGGGTCGGGCCGGGCGGATCCTAATGGGCGGGTCGGGTCGGGCGGGCGGGACACTAAATTGTGGGACACGCCAGAGCGAGCACGCGTGAACCCGAACGGGCGGGTCGGGTCGGGCGGGCGGACCCTAACAGGCGGGACGGGTCGGGTCGGGCCGGGCGGACCCTGACGGGCGGATCGGGTCGGGCAGGCGGGGCACTAACATGTGACGCACCCTCGAATGAACACACGTGAACCCGAACGGGCAGGTCGGGTCGGGCGGGCGGACCCTAACGGGCGGGACGGGTCGGGTCGGGCCGGGCGGACCCTAACGGGCGGGTCGTGTCGAGCGGGCGGGGCACTAAAATATGACGCAGCGGGTCGTGTCGGGTCGTGTCGGGCGGGCGGCCTAGGTGTAAGCCTAGGGTGTTTCTAAGGGAACGGCCTAGGAGCAGACCTAGGCTAGCCTAGGAGGAAGGCCTAGGGGTATGCCTAGGGTAGGCCTACGGCGCGGGCGGGTCGTGTCGGGCGGGCTAATGAACACGCGTGAACCCTGACAGCTGGTTTGGGTCGGGCGGGTGGACCCTAACGGGCGGGTCGAATCGGGCCGGGCCGGGCGGACCCTAACGGGCGGGTCGGGTCGGGCGGGCGGGGCACTAAAGTGTGGGGCGCGCTCGAGTGAGCACGCGGGAACCCTAACAGGCGGGTTGGGTCGGGTGGGTGGAGCCCAACAGGCGGGTCGGGTCGGGTCGGGTCGGGCGGACCCTAACGGGCGGGTCGGGTCGGGCAGGCGGGACACGTAAAGTGTGGGGCGCGCCGGAGCGAGCAGGCGTGAACCCTAACGGACGGGTCGGGTCGGGCGGGCGGACCCTAAGCGAGACGGGTCGGGTCGGGTCGGGCGGACCCTAACGGGCGGGTCGGGTCGGGCGGGCTAGACACTAAAATGTGAAGCATGCCGGAGCGAGCACGCGTGAACCCTAACGGGTGGGTCGGGTCGGGCGGACGGACCCTAACAGGCGGGACGGGTCTGGTCGGGTCGGGCGGACCCTAACGGGCGGGTCGGGACAGGCGGGCGGGACACTAAAGTGTGGGGCGCGCTCGAACAAGCACGCGAGAACCCGAACGGGCGGGTCGTGTCGGGCGGGCAGACCCTAACGGGCGGGACGGGTCTGGTCGGGCCAGGCAGACCCTGACGCGCGGGTCGGGTCGGGTCGGGCGGGCGGAACACGAAAGTGTTGGGCACGCTCGAGTAAACACGCGTCTAGCTATGCCAGGGCGGCACATAGCACTGACTGGCCCTGGGCCTCAGGGGAGCCTGAGCAAGGGCAAAGTGCATGGTCAGGCCTCAGGGAGCCTGAGCAAGATCAGGCCGTCCGGGAAGAAGGCGGGGGGTTGTACTCCCACCAGCCCTTTAGGGCGTGAGTGGTTTAGCGAGCCCCCTCTGTCCTCAACCCCCCTTCTTCCCCTTCGGGGAGGGGTTTACCCCTCCCCCTACCCCCTCCCCCTGGGCCTGGAGAGGGCACCCCGCGGGTCGTCAGGAGGGTCTTTTTCGACGCCTGGGAGGGCCAAAAAACGACGACCCTCACGAGGATTCTGGCCCCGACGGGGGGACGCTCTTGTAGCCCCCTCCTCTTCTGTGAAGCCAAAATCATTGTTTTTACAAAGGTTTTGGCCCCATTTTGGCCTCCCGAGGGGGCCGCGCTCATCTTCCTTCATAGCAAAATCATTGATTTTACTAGGGTTTTGGGCTCATTTTGTCCTTCTCAGGGGGCAGCGCTTCTTTGCGCTTCTGAGGAGGTCGCAAGAGGCCCCAGGATGGCCCCAAGAGGCCCCCAGGAGCCTCCCAAGAGGCCTCCAAGAGGCCCCCAAGAGGCCCCCAAGAGGCCCCAAGAGGCCCCCAAGAGGCCCCCAAGAGGCCCCCAAGAGGCCCCCAAGAGGCCCCCAAGAGGCCCCCAAGAGGCCCCCAAGAGGCCCCCAAGAGGCCCCAAGAGGCTCCAAGAGGCCGCCAAGAGGCCCCACGAGGAGCCCGAACGACTCACACCAGGACGAGGGGCCCGAACGACTCATACCACGAAGAACCCGAACGACTCACGCCAGAAGGAGGACCCCGAACGACTCCTACCAGGACGAGGCGCCCGACCCATTCACACCACGAGGAGCCCGAGCGACTCACACCACGACGCGCGCCTCGAACGACTCACACCACGAGGAGCCCGAACGAGTCACACCAGGAGGAGGGGCCCGAACGACTCACACCAGGATGAGGGGCCCGAACAACTCACACCACGAGAAGCCCGAACGACTCACACCAGGACGAAGAGCCCGAACGACTCACACCACGAAGAGCCCGAACGACTCACACCAGGAAGAAGGGCCCGAACGACTCACACCAGGACGAGAAACCCCAAACGACTCAAATCACGAGGAGCGCTTTCTCTCCCTCCTCCTCCGCCTCGTCCTTCTCCCGCTCCCCCCACAAGGAGGATGTACAAGGAGGCGGGAGGAAGGAAGAACAGGGGAGATATGCGGGGCCAAACGGACACACGCCTGAAAAACACGACTGTCGGCATGCTTCGCATGAAGCTGTTGTGAGATGGGCTGGTGGGGATACGCGAAGCGTAAAGAATTCCAGTGCTGCTGCGGGAACGCAATGGAGCTCCAGCCAACCGGCCGCGGGCAAGAGGAGCCAAAAGAGGAAAAGGAGCATCAGCAGCATAGAAGGACAATTGCGAGAGGAGGAAGGAAGAGGAGAGCGAAAACGAACCCAGGCGAAAGCCATCCTGGGCGGAAGACCAACCCAAGCAAAACCCCAAAAGCCAACCCGGGCGAAAGCCAACCCGGGCGAAAGCCAACCTGGGCGAAAACCAACTTGGGCGAAAGAAAGCCATGCGAAAGCAAACCCGGGCGAAACGAACCCGGCGAAACGAACGGAGCGAAACGAACCGGGCGAAAGCCAACCTGGACGAAAAACATGTACTCCTGTGTGTGTTGTGTGTTGTGTGTATTGTGTATGTTGTGTAGTGCGTGTTGTGTGTTGTGTGTGCTGTGTGCTTGTGTGTTGTGGTATGTGTGTTGTGTTGTGTGTTGTGCGTTGAGCGTGTTGTGTGTTGCGTGTTGTGTGGTTTCCTGTGTGATGTGTTGTGTTATGTGTTGCGTGTTGTGTGTTGTGTGTTGTGTGTTGAGTGTGTTGCGTGTGTTGTGTGTGCGTTGTATGTTGTGCGTGCTGTTTGTTGCGTGCTGTGTGTGTTGTGCGTGTTGTGTGTTGTGTGTGTTGTGTGCTGTGTGTTGTGTGTTGTGTGCGGTGTGTGTATTGTGTTGCGCGTGTTGTGTGTGTTGTTTGTTGTGCGTGTTGGGTGTGCTGTGTGTTGTGTGTGCGTGCGTGCGTGCGTGAATGTGTGTGTGTTTGTGTCATGTTCCCGTCCCTCCCTGTTTCCACCACCATCATCATTGCTATCAGCATCATCATCATCAGCATCAGCATCAGCATCATCGTCAGCATCATCATCATCAACATCACCATCATCATCATCATCATCATCATCATCATCATCATCATCATCGTCGTCGTCGTCGTCGTCGTCGTCGTCGTCGTCGTCGTCGTCTCAACTGACAGCATGACAACCGTCATCAACATCAATGGTCGTCATCGCCATCATCAGCCATTGCCGCCATCCCCATGATCAGCACCACGGGCATGAGTACGACTTGACAGGAGGAGCGGGCAACGGTAGTACAAAGAAGCAGGATGTGGAAGCGGCCCTGACTGTATTGTTGGTGATGGCAGTGGCGCTGCGGCGAGGTCGGTGATGGCAATGATAATGACGATGGCGATGGATATGATAAGGGCGATGATGATGGCAGTCAGAATGGCAGTGCTAATGGTATTGCGGCGACGACAACGCCCGTGATGGTTCTGGTCTGAAGATAGCGCAGTCTGAAAATGCTCTCGCTTCTTGGTCGTCGGCGTCGGGCGCCAGCGTGCGTTTCAGCACGAGGTGACGCCGATCCACAGGGAAAAGGTGAAACAAGAGCCCTGCTGGTGTGCCCGATGGCACCAGCAGCACCGTCAAGGTGCACTACCCATCGGTCGGAAGAAGTAGATAGAAACATGAAGTAGGAAGGCGTTGGAAGTAGATTGGGCTTCCGCCCGCCTCCTGAAGAGGAGGGAAGGGTGAAAACCACTTGACTCTTGAAGTAGGAAGGCGCTTAAAGTAGACTGGAGTCTGGGAGTCGAAGAATACCTGCTTTCAACGACCGGTGGATACAGTTCCTCCCCCCATGCCCCCGCCCATCCCCACCACGCCAGCACAACCCTTCCTTTTCAATCTTAAGGCGGCACATCGACAGCACAACCCAGGCCCTGCACTGGTCCACCTGGGTGACACGCCTGACAACCCTGGCTGTCTAACAAGCGGGCATACCTCGCAGTCTTGAAATCTTGGGCCGTCTCGGGTCAGTCTGGCGCTTGGGCTGTCTCGAAGCAGTTCGGCTCTTGGGTTGTTTCGAACAAGCCTGGGGGGTTTCTTGGGCCACCTTTGGCTTCAGTCGCTCGAAGCAGCGAGAACGCGAACATCTCACTTGTACTGTGTTGAGCCCCAAAACAAACTGTAGCTGTTGTCTTTGCAGGCTGTCATGAGGGTCGACCTGGAGCCGATGGAGCGTAGTGGGCCGTTCTGTAGGTGTCTGGTGTGATATTGTACTGCCTTGGACAGGTCATAGCGGCAGATTCAATTGGTTTTGCCCAGAGATCCTACTAGTACACCCACTTCGCCGTACTGGTACGCCTACGTACCCGCACTAGTACGATAGGCCTTGGACGCCGCTGTCGTACTAGTACGCCTACATAGCCCAACTAGTACGCCCTGCGAGATCGCATTCGTACGCCTACTTTGCCCTACTTGTCAGCCGCGCGGTCGTACTAGTACGCATACGTAGCCGTACACCTTGCTCGCCGCAGTCGTACTAGTACGCATACAGAGCCCTACCGCCTTGACCTCCAAGATCGCACCGACACGCCTAATTCGCCATACTAATACGCCACGCGGTCGTACTAGTACGTCTGCAGCCTTCCACTAAGACCCGCGGAGAGGGCCCCGTTCGAGACATCTTTAAAATTCCGCCCTGACGGGGGCTGGTAGCACTACATTGGCGTTGTAGTACGGCCCGGCTGGGGAGGGGGGGCCTGGCCAGTTCGACTGGCGGAGAGGGCCCCCGCTCGAGACATCCTCACGATTCCACCCCGACGGGCGCGCTGCTAGGGCGTAGCCTTCCTGGCACGACCCCAGGATGCTGGGGTGGTGCTGGCCGGGGCACACTTGTAGGGCTACGCAGGCCTACTGGCACGACCGGCGGAAAAGCGCTCCCGCTCAAGACACCCTCACATTTCTGCCCCAGCGGACGTATTTTTAGGGCCAGAGTGGCTGTACTAGTACAACCCCAGGAGGCTGGGAATAGGGGGAGCCATCCCAGTAGGGTCACTTAGGGAAAGCGCGCCACTGGATCACCCTGTAATTGAAGAGGGGGGGGGTCTGAACCCCCCCACCCTCCCCTCCTTCGAAAGGGGGGGTGAGATTTTCGACCCCCCCCCCCTCCACCCCTTAAGGGGGGGGGTCCGACCCCCCCTCCCCCCCCTGTGCGCCGAACAGGGGGCCCGGGAGAGGACCTCTCCCGCAAGGGGGGTGGTCTGGCCTCGGGATAGTGATTACTAAGTAGTGACTAGATAGTTCTGTGTAGTGAGTAGTGAATAGTGAATAGTGAGTAGTGAGTAGATAGTAGCGAGCAGTGAAGAGGAGTCAGGAGTGGTGAGTAGTGCGCAATGAGTAGTGAGTAGTGAATAGTGAGTAGTGCTTAGTGGGTAGTGGGGTGCGGGCAGTGAGTAGTGAGTAGCGAGTAGGGAGTAGCGAGTAGTGAATAAGGAGTCGCGAATAGGGCACTGTGAATAGTGAGTGGTGAGGAGGGAGTAGTCAGTAGTGAGTAGCGAATATGGAATAGCGAGTAGTGAGCAGTGAGTAGTGAGTAATGAGTACTGAATACTGAGTAGTGAGTAGTGTGTAAGGAGAAGTGCGAAAACGGTATTGAGTATTGGGCAGTGGGTAGTGCGTAAGGAGTAGCGAGTAGTGAGTAATGGGTAGTGAGTAGTGAGTCGTGGGTTGTGAGTAGTGGGTACTGAACAGTGAGTAGTGAGTAGCGACGTGTAACTAGTGACTAGCGAGTAGGGGGTAGGGAGTAGTGGGTAGTGAGTAGTGAGTAGCGCGTAGTGTGTAGCAAATATTGCGTAGTGAGCAGTGAGTCGTGCGTAGTGGGTAGTGGGTCGTGAGTAGTGAATAGTGAGTACTGAATAGTGAGAAGTGAGTAGCGTAGCGACTTGTGACTAGTGATTAGTGGGTAGCGAGTAGGGAGTAAAGAGTTGCGAGTTGCAGTGAGTACAGTGTAGGGAGTAGGGAGTAGCGAGTACCGAGCAGCCGATAGTGAGTAGTGAGTTGTGGGCAGTGAGTAGTGAGTAGTGAACTGTAATACTCAGTACTGAGTACTGGGTAGTGGATAGTGGGTAATGAACAGTGCTTAGTGAGTAGCGAGTCGTGGGCACTGAGTCGTGTTCAGTGAGTAGGGAGAATTGAGTACTGGGTAGTGAGTAGTGAGTAGAGAGTAGTGAGTTGGGAGTAGTGAGTAAGGAGTAGTGAGTAGTGAGTAGTGGGAGCTAGTGCGTAGTGAGTAGTAGTGAGTGGTGCGCATTGGGTAGCGACTACGGTGTAGGGAGTAGCGAGTAGTGGGTAGTGAGTTGTGAGTACTGTGCAGCGAGCAGGGAGTAGCAAGTAGTGGATAGTGAGTAGTGAGTTGTGGGCAGTGGGTAGTAAATAGTGAAGTGTGAGTAGTGATTAGTGAGCAGTGGATAATGGTTAGTGGGTAGTGAGTAATGATGCGTGATTTGTGCGTCGTGGGTAGTGAGTTGTGTTTAGAGAGTAGTGAGTAGTGAGTATTGAGTAGTGGATAGTGAGCAGTGAGTAGTGAGTAGTGAGTAGTGAGTAGGGAGTAGTGAGTAGTGGGTAGTAGGTAGTGAGTAGTGGGTAGTGAGTAGTGAGTCGTCAGAAGTGAGTAGTGATTAGTGAGAAGTGAGTAGTGAGTAGCGAGTAGTGAGTAGTGGGTAATGAGTAGTGCGTAATGAGTAGTGAGCACTGTTTAGGGCTAGGGGTAGGGTTCGGGGTTAGGGTTGGGGGTCAGGGTAAGGGTGAGGATTAGCGTTAGGGGTGGTAGGGGTCGGGTTCTGGAGCCCAGGGGCGCCGTGCCGAACGGCGGGGAGGGGGGGGGGGGGGTCGAATTTGGCGGACAAAGGGGGGGGAGGGTGGGGGGTTTCGGCACCCCCCCCCCGTTGAAAGGGGGGGAGGGGAGAGGTTCCCCGACGACGGATCGGGAAAGGGGGGGAGGGAGGGGGTTCCCCGACGACGGATCGGGAAAGGGGGGGGGTCCCCGACGACGGATCGGGGAAATGGGGGGCGGGGGGGTCCCAACCCCTCCCGCCTTGGGGAGATCCAGCGGCGCACCCTCTCACTTAGGCCAAGCCGTACGATCGGCGGCGAGGGCCCCCGCTCGAGACATCCTCACAATTCCGATCCAAAGGTGGCTACTAGTATGCCTACTTTGGCGTACTAGTACGACCCCTGGATGCTGAGGAAGGGGGGGGCGGGCGTAGCAGTAGGGCTACTCCAGCCTAGGCCCAAGATCGAGACAATCTCACGGTTCTTGCACGGCGGGGCTGACGGGGGCGAAGTGGTAGGGCTACTTAGAGCTACTTGCACGACTGGCGGAAGGGGAGCCCGCTCGAGACATCCTCGAAATGTCGCCCCGGAAGTCGCGCTAGATCAGAAGCCTTACTTTGGCGCACTCATAAGACCTCCCAGTCGTGCTGGCCTACGAATAGGGCCCTCCTCCATCCGCGGGGCGTACTAGTATGCTCATTTTGGCGTACTAGTAGGACCCCGCGGGTCGTACTAGCTGGCGCACTCAAGCATCACGGCTAGGACTTCCCTCCGCCCGCGGGTCGTACTAGTAGGCCTACTTTGGCGTACTAGGACGACACCCCCGGTCGTACTAGTAGGCGCACGTAGCACCCCGCAATTGCGGATAAGAGTGATGGGGCGGCGGGAACGTCGGCAGTCTGCGAGGCTATAAAGAAGTCCGCCGTAGGCGCCATATTTTCAAATTATACAAAGATCCCGACACAGGTGCTCATTTTCCCGCTAAAGCAAAGTGGGTGGGTCGCGGCTGGGTCGCGGGTGAGTCGCCGGGTGGGTCACGGGGTGGGTCTTGGGGCGGGTCGCAGGGTGGGTCGCGGGCGGGTCGCGGGCGAGGACGACGACAACAACAACAACAACAACAACAACAACACCAACAACAACAAGAACAACAACAACAACAACAACAACAACAACAACAACAACAACAACAACAACAACAACAACAACAACAACAACAGTAACAATAATTTAAGACTGATCGCTACCATCTGCTCACGTGCCAATCAACGCTTATGTTCCAAACCCTCGGTGCCCGCCCTCTTCGCCTTCTATCCTACTCCCTTGGGGGTATATCTTCCTCACCTGCCACGTGGATTTAGTGCAGCCCCTGAAACAGAGGAAGCGAGGACGGATGGAAGGGAAAACATGAAAAGACCAAACCGAACCGAGAACCGATAACCGTGACCGAACCGGACCGAACCAGCCATAAACAAAGAAAATCAAAAACCGAACCGGACCGAACCGAATTCATTCAGAACCGAACCAGGGGGAACCGAACCGAACCAGAACCGGAACCGAACCGGACTGGGGCGGCCCCCGAACCGAACTGACGAGAACCGAACCGGAACCGAACCGGACCGGTACCCCCCCCTGACCGGCACCCCCCTGGTCCGGACCGCCCCAGTCCGGACCCTCCCCGGTCTGGACCCCCCCGGGAGGAGGATGGAGCACGAGAGAAACTAGCAAGAGGGGGCTAGGAGTAGGTCGGGCCTGTCCCCCAGGGGATTTTGAACGAAAAACAAAACATATTCAAAAAATAATCAAAAGATGCCCAAAAGTAGTCAAAAAATGGCCCCCTGACTATTTTTTGACTATTCTTGAATATTCCCCCTGTAGCGGGACAGGCCCGATTAAGGCCAGGAGCAGAAAACAGACGGCAGAACCCAACGGGCGGGTCGGGCAAGCGGGCCGAGGCGGCCACCAGGTCGAGCAGGCGGGTTGCTGAAGCTCGAGTCCTGCATGGATCGCGAGGAAGCCTCGAGCGATAAGGCGATTCCTAAGTAAACTAGGGCTCCCAACTTCGCGCTCTCGCGCTCCGCGAAGCGCGAAGCGCGAATAACCTCGCGCTCTCGCGCCGCCCCCCCAAAGGGAGAAAAGGAGGACGAGGAGGAGGGGGAGAAGGAACGAGGACCGCGAAGCACGAAGCGCGAATAACTTCGCGCCCTCGTGGGAGCCCTTGGTAAACGGCTAGGAAATCCAACGCGAGAGCGTGATTCCTGAGTCTCGAGGGCGCGGCGTCTGAGCAAATTGCGAGGAAGCCCCACGCGACACCGCGATTCCTGCATAGATTGTGAGGACGTCCCGCGCGAGAGCGCGACTTTGGAATGAATTGTAAAGACGTGTCAGGCGGGAGCCATTGATGCTGTAGCCAGAAAGCCAGGAAGACTTCCCCTGATAAAAACAAGGTGCGCGTCCCGAGGGGGGCACTTCGATTGAAAACACAATTTGCACTGTGGGGGATCAGATAGAATTATTCGTCAAGAGCGAGAATTCAACAACAACAACAACAACAACAACAATAACAAGAGCAACAACCACAACAACAACAACAAAAAACAAAAGCAGCAAGCACTGTAAGACTGTTCGCTCTTACCTGCTCGCGCGTGATTCAGCACGTGTCTCCCAAGCACCCGATGCCCGCCCTCTTCGTCTTCGATCGTGCCCCCTTGGGGGTATATGTATTTGTCTGGCCTACAACGCGTGCTTCATCCAGCCCCTGAGGCAACGGAAGAGAGGACGGATGGAAGGAAGGGACGAGGGGGAGGGAGAAGGATGGAGCACGAGGTACGGTAGAGGGAAACAATTACTGAACACCCCCCCTCGCCCCCAACCTCCATGTTGGCACGCGCGGGGGAGACTGCGGTCGAAGTGCATCTCATCAGACCCACCGCCCACTTTGAACATTGGGGGGAGGGGGAGCCGTTGACAGATGAATGTGGCAAGAGTGTTCGCTAATTTGTTCCGAGGCCTGTAGCAGGAGGGGGCTAGGAGCAGAAAGCAGGTGACAGAACCAGATAAGCCATCGAGCGGACAGACCCCAGCGGGCAGGTCGTAAGGCGGGCCCAGGCGACCAGATCGAGCAGGCGGGTTTCTGAAGCGTGCGTCCTGCACGAATCCCGAGGAAGTCTCGAGCGATAGCGCGATTCCCAAGTCCGCCGGCCCCCTTGCGGGGCCACCAGGCTGTAGGCCCAAGGTTTGCTGTTCCCTGCACCAGTTCCAGTTTCCAGTTTCCACTGTTACAAATCTGCTTCTTGCTGCTTACTGTTCCCTGTTGATGGACCGCGCGGGGGGGGGGGGAGAGCCGAGAAGGAACCAAGCTGCCACGCCCGAATCGGGTGCTCTGGGATCCTGGGTGGGGGGGCGTGGGACACGACAAAATGCATGAGATTCGCGCCCCGGAACCAATAAACCCTCGTAAATTACACCAGATTCGCGTCCCCGAGGCCACAAACATTTGTGAATTACGCAATATTCGCGTCCCCGAAACTCAAAACCCTTGCAAAATACACCGTATTCGTATCCCCGAAGCCAGAAACCCTGGTAGATTATGCAATAATTGCATCCCCGAGGCTACAAACGCTTGTAAATCACACAATCCTCGCGTCCCCGAAATCATCAATCCTTATAAATTACGCGGTACTCGCGTCTCCCAAACCATAAACTTGCGTAAATGACGCAAGATTTGCGACCCCGAAGCCATAAACCCTCCTTCGCGTGTCCGAAGCCATAAACCCTCGTAAATTACGCATGCTCGCGTCTCCGAAGCCATAAACCTGCGTAAATTACGCTATAGCTGCGAGCCCGAAGCCATAAACCCGCGTAAATTACGCGCTATTCGAGTGCACGAAGCCATAAACCCTGGAAATGCAACACCGAATTCAACATCATCATCAGAGTCTCAATTTGTCTTGCCGGTTACTCATCGTCTTCGCCTGAAGTCCCGACGCTGCTTCACGGCGGCGCCAAGGCCTCATGATTTCGCTCTTGCATTGCCCATTATCCGAGAGAGGGGGCCGGCGGCAGGGGGCGAAGCCCTTACGGATAAATCGGTAGGGAATCCACAGCGAGAGCGTGATTCCTGAGTGTCGAAGGCGCGGCGTCTGAATAAATTGCAAGGAAGTCCCTCGCGAGAGCGCGATTCCTGCATAAGTTGAAAGGCAGTTTGCGCGAGAGCGCGATTGGGAAATTAATTGTGAGGACGTATCAGGCGGGAGCCATTGATGTTGTGTAACTCGGGGGCCCGCCGCCCAGTTTGAGGCTCAAGACTCTCCCTGCTAAAAAACAGGGTGAGAGCCCTGGGAGGGGCACTTCAGTACGAAGAATACAACGGTTACCTGAGGGGAGAATCAACAATACTTATTTCTTAAAAATTAAAGTTCGACAACAAAAACAACAACAACAACAACAACAACAACAACAACAACAACAACAACAACAACAACAACAACAACAACAACAACAACAACAACAACAACAGCAATAACAACAACAACCACAACCACAACAACAACAACAACAACAACAACAACAACAACAACAACAACAACAACAACAACAACAACAACAACGACGACGACGACGACGACGACGACGACGACGACGACGACGTATACCCCAACCCTCGGTACCCGCCCTCGTCGTCTTCGATCGTACCCCCTTGGGGGCATATCTTCCTTACCTGCCACGTGCACTTAGCGCAGCCCCTACAACAAGGGAAGAGAGGACGGGTGGAAAGGAGAGGGAGAAGAGTGGAGAACGAGAGAAATTAGCAGAAGGGGCGCAAGGAGCATAAAACAAGTGGTAGAACCAGACGGGCAGAACGGGTGGGCAGACCCATAGCGGGCAGGTCGGGAAGGCGGGCCCAGGCGACCAGGTCGAACAGGCGGGCCGCTGAAGCGTGGGTCCTGCATGAATCGCGAGGAAGTCTCGAGCGATAGCGCGATTCCCAAGTAAATCTTGAGAAAAGCCAAAGCGAGAGAGTGATTCATGAGCGCCGAGGGCGCACCCTCTGAATTGCGAGGAAGTCCAACGCGAGAGCGCGATGCGCACATGAAGTGTGAAGTTCCGCTCGAGAGCGCGATTTGGGAAGACATTGTGAGGAAGAATCAGGCGGGAGCCGTTGTTGCTGTTGTTGTAAGCCGGGGGCCAAGGGACCAGCTTGAGCCGAGTGAATTTCCCTGCCCCCCAAAAAAACGGGTGCGAGCCCCGGATGAAGCGCTTCGTTTAAAAAACACAATGGTCACCGAAGGGTGGAGATCAACAGTGATTATTCGTTCAGTAATGAGACTTCAACAACAACAACAACAACAACAACAACAACAACAACAACAACAATAAAAAACAACACAAAATAGTAATAAGATCCACAACAACAACAACAACAACAACAACCACAACAACAACAACAACAACAACAACAACATCCTCAATCTCAACAACAACAACAACAACAACAACAAACAAAAAACAAAAAAAACATTTTAAGACTGTTCGCCCTTTATACGCTCGAGTGTCCAATAACGCGTATTTCCCAAACCCTCGGTACCCGCCCTCTTCGTCTTCGATCGAACCCCTTTTGGGGGGTATACCTTTTTTCCCTGCAGGCCGGGCCCCGGCAAGCGCCGGGGCGGCCGCGGACCGTCGGCCTGGCCAGCGGCAGCGCTGATCGGCGGGGCGGCCGCGGACCGTCGACCCGACCCCAAAGGGGACGGACAGGGGACCGACCACGATGACGACGACGACGACGACGACGACGACGACGACGTCGAAGACGACGGCGACGACGGCGACGACGAGCGAAATCGAGAGCGAGAGAGAACGACAGCAGGGCCACGAAGGGCACGAAGTAGGCCACGAAGGGCGACAGCGGGGACACGAAGGGAATGCGTATGGGGCCACGAAGAGCGCGAACGAGCGTGGGCCACGAAGGGCAGATAATGCGGGGCCACAGAAGGCAACGATGGGGCCACTGAGGGTAGCACCTGGGCCACGTAGGACAATGAGGGGGGCACAATTGGCGACAGCGGGGCCACGAAGGGCATGCACATGGGGCCACAACGGGCGCGACTCCTGGGTGCCTGGGTGTCGGGAGCGCGGCGCTTGGGCAAACTGCAGGAAATTCCAACGCAAGGCTATTCTTCAGTAAGTTGCAAGCAAATCTTCAGCGAGAGCGCGACTCCAGAGCTCCGGGAGAGCGATCCCTGCATAAATTGTAAGGAAGTCCCAAGCGAGAGCGCGATTCCTGAATGAAATGCGAGGAAGTCTCGGGCGGGAGCGGGGGTCCTGCCTAAATTGTAAGGAAGTCTCAAGCGGGAGCCGTTGTTGTTGTAACCCAGGGGCCAGGGGGCCAGTTTGAGCAGGAAAATTTTCCATGTCAAAAAAAACAGGGTGCGAGCGTCGAGGGGCATACTTTGATTGAGAAAAAAAAGTAAGTATGCGCCAGTGAGGAAGGATCAACAATAATTATTCTTCAGAAATGAGAATTCAACAACAACAACAACAACAACAACAACAACAACCACAATAACAACAGCAGCAGCAACAGCAGCAGCAACAACAACAACAATAACAACAACAACAACAACAACAACAACAACAACAACAACAACAACACCAACACCAACACCAACACCACCACCAACAACAGTAACCACAACAGCAACAACATCATCATCAACAACAACAACAATCCGCATCGCGGAACCTCATTTCGGCCACGCGCCCAGGGACAATGAATCACCGTTCGGCCCCCGCACTGTGACTGACGCCCTACCAGTAGGACTTCCCGCCACCCGCGGGCCGCACTACGAGGACTGCTTCAACGCACCAGTACGACCCCCCGGTCGTGCCAGTAGGCGCCTACTACAGGCTGGGCAAGTTTTCCCCGAACGCTGCCACATTGTCCGATGCCGCTGCATGAGCGATGGGTGCACCACGTGATACAATGGCCAAACACACTGCGCTTCGGACATTCACACCGAGGGCAAGTCATTGAAAGGAGGCTGATGAGGAAGCCGGGGAGGATTGAAAGATTGTGAACGGAGAGGAGGAGGAGAAGGGAGGAAGAGGAAGCGCGCAACAGCTTCAGCAGAGGCCTCCGCTGGGCATGGCGCCAACAGCTTCTTTAAGAGGCCGGAAAAGACCTCGCAGCTCCCTGGGGGCAGTGACCTGCGCAACTGTCGACACTTTCGCGAGCTCCTGGGCGGGGTCGGGGAGTACCCGAGACCTGGCAGCTCCTTGGGAGGCTGCGAACTGTGCAACCGTTGCCACCTCCACGGGCTCCTTGGAGGCACGGCGGAGTCGGGGAGTACCCGAGACTTCGCAGCTCCCTGGGGGGGTGCGAATTGCGCAAGTGTCGCCACTTTCATGGGCTCCTGGGAGGCACGGTGGAGTAGCAGAATAAACGAACCCAGCCGAGACCTCGCTGCTCCGTGTGTGGCCACGAATTGCGCAACTGTCGACACCTTCGTCGTGGGCTCCTGGGAGGCACGGCGGAGCAGCGGAATGAACAGACCCAGACGAGACCTCGCTGCTCCCTGGGCGGCTACGAACTGTGCAACTGACGCCACTTTCGCTGGCTCCTGGGAGGCACGGCGGAGTAGCGGAGTAAACGGGCCCAGAAGCTACTTTTGTGGGTTTCTGGGAGGTCCAGCGGAGTCGGGGGCCACGCGCACCCAAACGAGACATCGCTGCGCACCAGAAAGCGATGCTGCCTGCCGCGTAGCCTCTCTCGCTAGCTCATTGCAAGAAGCGCCATGGATGCGGCGGCCAGAGCCCCCCCGTCTGACACCCCACCGCCTAACAGGCCCCCAACGGGACCACTGCTCTTGGGACACCCCACCTCGCAATTTTCGGCGGCCCGGCCCCCCCCCGTCCTAGCCCCCCGCAGACACCCCACCGCCTGAGAATGTTCTCGGGGCTGCCCACGTCGCAATTTTCGCATCGACTCCACCCCGTTCTGGCCTCCCCGTCTGACGCCCCACCGCCTCAGAGACCCCGATCGGGACTACTCTTCTTAAGACCCACCACCTCGCAATGTTCGGCCTGGCTCTCCCCCGTTCTAGCCCCCCGTCTGACGCCACGCCGCCTGAAAGGCCCCCACCGGGACTGCTGTTCTTGGGACCCCCCACCTCGCAATTTTCGGCCCGCACACCCCCCTCGCTCAAGCCCCCCCGCCCGACATCCCACTGCCTCAGAAGCCCACATCGGGCCCAGTGTTCTTCGAGCCCCCCATCTCGCAATTGTCGCACTGGCCCCCCCCCCCCCCGTTCTAGCCCCCCCGATTGACGCCCAACCGCCTGAGAGCCCCCATCGGGACTACTGTTCTCGAGACCCCCCACCGTGGAATTTCGCCCCGCCCCCCCCCCCGTTCTAGCCCCCCCGTCTGACACCACACCGCCTGAGAACGCCCCGCCGCCTGAGAGCCCCCATCGGGACCACTGGTCTCGGGACCCCGCGCCCTCACCTCGCAAATTTCGACCCAGCCCCCCGCCCGTTCTCACTCCCCCGTCTGACACCCCACCCCCTGAATGGCCCCCATCGAGACTACTGTTCTTGGGACCCCAACTCGCAATCTTCGCCCCGCCCCCCCCCCGTTCTAGCCTCCCTGTCTGGCGCACCACCCCCTGCAAAGCCCCCATCGGGACTATAGAGTATACTGTTCTTTTTTGTTCCCCCCAGACGCAGCAAAGCATGGCAAGAAAGCGGATGATCAGCTGCCCCTTGCAAGCGGAATCCGGTTATGATACATCGCGCAACTTCGGTGTGAAAGTGTGCGCAACTGCCGCGAAGTAGCGAAGTCTCTGCATTCTTCTGTCCGCAACTGCCGACACATAGGAAACTATAACCCACAACTGGGGGGGGAGCTCGGGAGCTCGACCCAAAATGAAAGGCAATACCGGGCGCAATCCGGAACAATTTCGCGCCCTATCGGCGCAGTCCCTTCGATCGTTTGGGGATCGACGAGTTCTAGCAGGGTCAATCTGTCTTCGATCAGGATGAAGAAATGGAGCACCTAATTAGCGGCTCTCGTCTGCGGAGCCTCCGCAGAAAATCACCTAAGCCAGAAACTCCTGCAGCGCACCCATGTCAGGACTTCTTTGTCTTCCTCTAAGGCTCTGAGGGGGACGGGCGAGCGCCTGGCAGGCACTGAAAGATGTGGCGGGATCGAAGAACAATCAACGCCAACGCGCCCGCGATTGCCGCAAAATTGGAGGGGCGGCACCCCATGTCGTCTGTCGCTCAGATCCACGCGAAATGGTGCCTGCTTGGCTAGACCAATACAAACAAACTGGGGGGAGCTTGGGAGCTCGACCCAAAATAAAAGCAGTTCACGCTGCCAGACCGCGGCAACGACGTGAAATATGGCTGGGCGGCCTCTTGGAGGCCTAGGAAGGTCGGCGAATGTGCCAGGGGCGTCCACCGATCAACGGCATACCGAGACGTCCGCGGGTGGCACTGAGTCCTCCAGGCCACGGGGATCTCACCCACAGCTCCGGGAACCCTTGCTTCCATGTGAAATTGTGAAAAGCAACATGTTGTATGACCCCCCGTAAACATCCGTGACAACGGGAGGCGCGTGGTAGGGTCTGGCCGCCGTGTGGCGGGCTCGGACATGGCACTGACAGTAGTGACGGAAATAGCAAAACTAATGACAGTAGGAGCACTGGTAACGGCCATAAGTATCCATAAACGAAGTAGTAAACTGCAGTTGTAGCAATCATGGCAGGACATGGACGAGCTCCCGATTAATCATGCCTGACTCCAATCGTCACAACAGTCTGGCTACTAGTTAAACTTAGAACGATGTACGCTGCGTGGCGGCGGAGAGAACGTGGCCGGTGGAGCGAGCCGTGATTTCACTTACTGCACCACCCTCCCCAGAATGTCCCCCCAAGCGTAACTCCTTGAAACCACTCCTCCATCACTCGCGCCGCTTGCAAACTGGCGCACGTGGCGCGGCAGGAGGCCGCAGCTGTCTGCGCCCGGGCACGTATTGCAGTAACCATGCGTCATGTAGGTTTCTCGTTTTACGACTGGGATTCAGCATCGCCTGATGAGCCTGATGCGTGATGACGCGGTCGGTAATCCACAAGTTCTTCGAATTGACCGTATAACGAAGTCATACTCCCTTGGCGAACAAACCCAGTTGGCATTCGAAGGAACTCTCCTGGCTCAAATAGATCATCGTCGGGATCCAGTCTCGTTGGGAACAGATGCAAATTCCACAAGATGAGGAGAACGAGGTAGAGCACGAGACCGGCCATCCAAAGACAAATGTCTCTCGTGTTGCCGTTGAAGAATTCGGAACTCGCTGCAGTGATGAGCCCTGCCGCGAACCCTTCGTGAAATCCCATACACGCGAACGAAGCAATGACTGCGCAGAGCTCGGTGACAACACGGGCGAAAGGGTACAATTCGAATTTAGATCGCGCGACGCTCATGAGATAGAGCCTCACGGGGTAAACCGTAGGATATATACCGAAAAAACTTATGGCGCAGGTTGCTGCTTTAGGTAGCATCTGTTGGGCAAGTTGACTTCCTGCTCCAAGCTCAATCTCTGCAGCCATTTCGCGCGGCATTCCATCACACCCGAATACATTAAAAGCCGAAGAAAACAACCACGGCAACATCAACAACAGGCAACAACGGTATGGGATAAGTGTGGCTGACCCTGTAGAATGTTCTATGTGGTCGCTGAGCTTCTCATTGACGAATTCGTCAAATGCTACAATGGGGTATTCGTAGTCCTTCCACAGATACTTGATCATATCCGCAACGACCTCACGATCGCTCTCGAATCTACACTTCGCTCTTCCGAACGCGAACTCTCTACACTGAGACAACATGTTTGACTGTATGTCTAACTTGGTGCGAGTAGCATACCAAGTGGGTACAAGCGGACAAGCGGACAAGCGGCCTGCAGTCAAGGTGCCGCGGGGGCACTGCAGGGCGGCGCCGGGGCGCCGCTATTGGTGAAACAATGCGACAACAACAATATTCGATACATCACATTGTCTGGAAGGAGGACAAAGAGGGGGAGGAGGAAGCAGACGGCGATGACGGCACTAGAATATTAGCCGCGTAACCATGGACACTCACCGTTGTGTGTACCCAGACTCCAAATTGCCCCATGTGTCCGCCCCCGCTAGTCGTAGTAACCCTGCAACATGTTGTGGCGCGTCTTCGACACGCCGTTTAATGTAGGATAGTATGTCGTCCCACCACCTGGTCTTTTGCCGTCCAACACGGCGTTGTGCATGTATGTGTGCATCATTTCGTGGCTCCCATTGTAACACTCGCTGTGCCCATTCTTTCGTACTGTTAGTACACATTTCTTGCAACCATGTCCATTTACGATTTTTGATTGTGGCAACCCAATCTGCGACCCCCAAATTTGAAATACTATGTTCGGCGTGTTGCGTTGCACGACGGATCCAATCCGGCCAAGGCTCAAGGGCATCTTCTTCCTGGAATTGGTCAGCATCCGCGGCTGGAAGTGGTTGTCCGCTGTGAACATCCCCTCCGCTGCCTGTGGTAATTGAAGAACCGTCGTTTTCCTGGTAGTCGCCGTCGTTGTCGCCATCGGGATTGCGTCGGGGATCTGCTTCTGATGACTCCAGCTTCTTTCTTCGAGGCGTTCTGATGATCATGCGAAGCATCTGTCTCTGCGTTCTGCGAATTCTGTTTTCCAACTCCTGAGTGACCGTCCATGTCTCACATCCACACAGCATTGTCGGCGTAATTGTTCCCTGGAAAAGCCGAATTCGGTTATTTATAGAATAGCTTCTTCCCGTAAGCTCCTGTTTGAGTAAATGGAACTTTCTCCACGCTCCAGAAATTCGGTTTTCCACTTCGGTCTCGTGGCACTCGCTGAATTGCAGCTTTCGGCCGAGGTACTTGGTGGAGCGGCATGGCGGCAACACTTCGATCTTCATGTCGTGCACTAATACGTGGCTCGGTGTTTGTATCGTTCGTTTGCGCCGGTGTCCATTGTGCAGAATTTTGGTCTTGTCTGGATGAAGGT